GGTAGGTAACCGTTGGCTTCAAAACTGAAGGAAAATTGGCTTACCAGCGATGGGTAAGTTCCAAACATCGATGGGAAGCCAATATCCTGCAGATCCCAAATTTATTCAATCCCTTAAATCAAGCCAATCACCCCTTTAATGCATTGGTCCGTTGGAGCCTATTTTGGCACTATAAAAAGGGGTGTTTGGGTCTGCTTTTTCTCATCAATTCACTTCACTTTATTCATATTATCATTGCATCCAAACAACATTATTTTCCATAGCTTTCTAGAGCCAATTTGTGAAGTTTGAGTTGTTCTTGAGCGTATATAGTTTACTCAACATATACTCTTAAAGAGAGTCTTGTTCTTGAGTATTCTTAGTGTTGTAAACACGTTTAGGGAAGCTTGTTTCCCTTGGTTGTACGAAGAAAAGGTATTTTCCTTCGGGTTGAAGTCTTGGAGTGCGGTATCTCCGAGCAAGTTTATTGAGGCTCGTGGGACTCGAGTTCTCAGGTTGTAACGGTTTGTTAAGCACCTGTAAGCTTAACGGAAGTAGTGTAGCTCGACAGAGTCTCTCGGGAGGCTGGATTAGCCACAAGTTGTGGTGAACCAGGGTAAATCTTGGTGTGCTCCCTTTACTCCTTTTTATTCCGCTCTTTACTTTATCCCTGCGATTTTTATTCCGCGAAAATTTATAAACATTCTCGTGCCTCACTATTCACCCCCCCTCTAGTGAAGGGCACTTATTCTAACGATTGGTATCAGAGCCTAACTCGCGTCCAAACTTAACCGTTTGAGAGTAAAGCGATCATGGGTTCTTCTTCTAGAAATCTTTATGCAGGGATTGGAGAAGGTCAATCAACTACACGACCACCTCTTTTTGATGGAACCAATTATACATATTGGAAAGAACGAATGAGAATCTATATTCGTTCCACGAACTTCCAATTATGGTTGGTTATCAAAAACGGGGAAGAGGTGCCGATGAAGAAAGTCGGAGACAAGTTGATCCCCAAGACCGAAGACGAGTTTGATGCCGAGGACATCAAAAAGGTCGAGAATTACGCAAAGGCAATAAATATGCTTTATTGTGCCGTAAATCCTGATGACTACCGCAAGATCTCCTGCTGCTCAACCGCCAAGGAGATGTGGGATAAACTTGAGGTGACGTACGAAGGAACAGACCAAGTATGTGAAGCCAAGATTGACTTCCTCACCCAAGAATATGAGATGTTCAGGATGAAGGAGCATGAGAAGATTGACGACATGTTCGACCGATTTTCCAAGATAGTCAACGATCTTCATGCATTGAAGAAGACTTACACCGACAGGGATCTTGTACGAAAGATCCTACGGAGCTTGACATCTGAATGGCGATCTAAGGCCGATGCCATCTATGAGTCAATCGGCACATCAAATGCCACCATCGACGGTTTAAGAGGTAACCTTAAAACTTATGAATCTACAATTCTAACCCCGTCTTTGGATGAACAAAAGAATAAAGGGATAGCGCTCAAAGCAACCAAGGAAATGGTTGAAGAGGAATCAAGTGATGAAGACAACGAGTTTGACCTCATCATCAAGAAATTCCACAAATTTATGAAGAAAGAGCACGAGCGCAAAGGAAAGAAGC